GACTGAACGTGTCAAAGAAATCTTCGCCAGCAACTTGGTTAAACCCTTTGACAACCAGGCGTGCTTTGTGGCGCTCTATTGAGCCATCAGCTTTGCGCTTGGTGCGGAAAACCCACTTGTAGCCAATGACATTCATGTGAGGCGTTGCCGGTACTAGATTCCAGGTGTTGTTGTGCAGCAGTGCATTAAACTCCTGGTCCATGGCATCCCGCCACTGCGGATGTCCCACTGCTTGAGAGTAACATGTGGGGTCTTTGGTGACAGTGAGCGCCTGAAATTGCTCATATGTTCCACGAGTCTTACGCCAAGTGCGCATGACATGCCCCTCGCTTTGGGATGACTTAGTAATGGCCTTCCGTTGCCTCCGAGTTGGAGCGGGGGCGACTTCTATAGCCATTTGAGGTGGTTCCTGTGCTATGGGTAACTCCATTGTCGGTGGTGGAACTGGAGTATTGACAACAACAGGGCTTGAACCCCAAGGTGTATTGAGAGGTTGCTCATCAGTAACCTGTACAGAAGCCTGCATAGAAAAGGGGAAAGTGGACTCATCAAACCGGACATGACGGCAGACGAATATCTTTCCCGTGGTTAAGTCTAAGCAGCGGTATCCCCTATAAGAAACTGGGTAACCTAAGAAGACGCACGGTGCTGACCGATATTCCATTTTGTGGCGATTGTAGGGCCGCAAATAGGGATAACAGCGACAACCGAAGACACGGAAGAAGTCATATGTTGGTTGGGTGTTGTATAGACGGGAATAAGGTGTTTGAAACTGTATGGCTGAAGATGGCAAGTAGTTTATTAAATGGGCTAACGCATAATCCCAATATTGAAGCGGAGTTGAGCTTTCAGCTAACAAGGCTAAGCCGGTTTCGACAATGTGTCGATTCCGGCGCTCAACACGACCATTTTGTTTGTGTGTATAGGCGCAAGATTGCCTATGAGTTATGCCAAGAGACTCGAAAACTGTATGTAATCGGCGATATTCGCCGCCCAAATCAGACTGGATGGCTTTGATAGAACGGGAAAACCGTCGTTCTACCATTGCCCGAAACAAATTGAAAACTTTATATATGTCTGATTTTAATCTTAGCGGATAAAACCAGCAAAACCGCGAGTAATCGTCTACAAAAAGAACAAAGTAACAAAAACCCGAATTACTAATAACAGAAGACGGACCCCAGATGTCCGTGTACAATAAATCTAGAATATTTTGACTAGTGTTTGAAACTCTATCTAGTGGAAAACGTGCTGATTTTCCGAGTTGGCAAGCGGTGCACATTTTTGACGAACTTGTTTTATTTGGCAAAACCGAGCAGCTTTTTAGGACATGCTGGAGGACTTCTTTGTGGGGGTGACCCAATCGTTGTTGCCACACCTGTGACGATGCCCGGGCGGAGAGAAACGGAAAGTGAGACCGGGGAACCAGTAACTTGTATAGTCCGCCCGAGGTTGACCCTTTAAGCAGAATTGTTTTGGTGTTGGAATCCTTCACAAAAAACAAATCTTTATGAAATTCGAAAAAAACATCGTTTTCATTAGCAAAACGATAAACAGAAAGCAATGGTAAAGTCAGATTCGGGACATGTAAAATATTTGACATTTGTAGATTTTTAGACCGGGATGGGATTACTGCACGACCCACACGGGAAACATCCAAACCTGCACCATTGCCCACTTTGAGTACGTCCCCGCCATGATATGCTTCGGAACTGTGCAGCATGTTTTCATCCGGAGTGGCGTGCGATGACGCACCCGTGTCCGGGAACCAGGCATCGGCCACCTGGGGTTCGCCGGCTACTGCCACATTCGCCGTTCCTGCACCCGGCTGCGGATGTTCCGTGTATCTTTTATAACAATACACGGCCGTATGGCCGTGTGATCTGCAGATGTGGCAACGGGGTGTGCCGCCGCGCCCTCGGCCGTTGTTGTTCCCCCTGCCACGACCATGCCGGCCACGACCGCCGGAGCTATTGCGGCCACCCGATCTATGATCGCCGCTGCTTCTGCCACGGCCTGCAAAAAACGCCGATGGATTGCCTCCTGCGCCGGACTCACCTGCAAAGTCGTCGGAGTGTATGAACTCCTGCGCTTGTAGATGATCGACTAGCTGCGACAGGGAGATGGGGCTGCCGGAGACCGTAAGCGAGCTGGCCATCGCGCGAAATTCTGGCCTTAGTCCACGGAGAACGTAGAGGATTTGTTCATCCGGAGATAGCGGACGCCCGGCCAACGCGAGAGCTTCAACGATGGTCTGCGTTTTTCCCAGGTATTCCGCCGGTGAGCTTCTTCCCTGGCGCAAAGTTTGAAACTGTCCGAGAAGGCTCAGACAACGGGCTCAGGTGGTTGACGCCAACGCGGATGTGACAGACTCCCAGACTTCTTTGGCGGTGTTCCGGCCGAGAGCATGATGCATGACTTCGTCTGAGAATGAGGAAATCAACAGAGATAAAATTGATTGGTCTTGCTGGACCCAGGCAGCATGCGCGGGATTCGGAGTTGTGGTGGTTGTCGTCGTTGCCGCGGCACCATTGGAGGTCGAGGTGACGGAAATAGTCGCCGGAGGACACGGGAGACTACCATCAATATAGCCCCGTAGCCCTTGGCCACGGAGAAAAGGGAGAAGCTGAGTTCTCCAAAAAAGGCGACCGAATTTGGTAGATTGCTTTTGGCAGTGGATTCGAATATAACAATGCGGTCTGGAAATGCAACCGGAACCTTAAAAAACTGATGATGGACCATGAAATTACATATATATCCTCAAAAATCACAGTCAACAAACGGTCAAATAGACATAGGACTAAATTGTGTTAAAATTACAAAGTTAAGGACTTAATTGGTTGAAATTGAAAATCGAGGACCAATTTGTGAATTTAGCTATAGTCGAGGGACCATTTTGGGTATTTACTCAAAAAAAAAAAAAACAATAGTCGTGGATGAAAACTGGTACAAAAATAATAGTAGTGGATAAAAATTGACAGAAATTAAATATTTAGACCAAAATTGTCATTTTATTAATACTCCTAGACTCAAAATTGGTATTTGCTCTAAAAGTAAAGCAAATTTACCAACCACTTTTTCTGCAAATAGTTCAGCTAATTAATTACAAAACATGGAACGTGTGGTATATAACGGTTAAGAGAACTTCCTAGGAAAAGTAGAGTGGCGACCGGAAAATCAAGAATAATGGAGTGGGAGATTACAAATAATCATGGTGATGATCTTCTTCATGTTGTGATGTTCCCATTTTTTGCATTTGGTCATATAAGCCCATTTGTGCAGCTATCCAACAAGCTATCCCTTCATGGAGTCAAGGTTTCCTTCTTCTCCGCTGCCGGAAACATCGACCGGATTAAATCCATGTTGAATTCCAATCCACTTACTCAGATAGTTCCCCTCACGCTCCCCGCCGTGGAGGGCCTTCCTCCGGGAGCTCAGAGCACCGCCGACTTGCCGCGGGAAGCGGCGGAGCTACTCCCGGGGGCTCTCAACCTCATGCAACCTCAAATCAAGGCGCTTCTCGTTAAACTCAAACCCCAATTTGTGATCTTCGATTTTGCCCATGATTGGATTCCGCCCCTCGCGGCCGAGCTCGGGATTAAATCCATGTTTTACTGCGTTTATCTTACACTGCTCACCGCCTTCGCCTCCGTCCCCGCCAGGCTTCCCGGCCCCGAAAGATCCCCCACCGTCGAAGAAATGAAGAAACCGCCACCGGGTTTTCCTCCGACTTCTGTCGCTTCCTTGAGAACCTTTGAAGCTCGAGATTTTGTGATCATCTTCATGAGACCCCATAACGGCGGCGCCTCCGTGTACGACCGCGTTCTCGCCGGCCTAAACGGCTGCTCCGCCATACTAGCAAAGACCTGTTACGAAATGGAAGCGCCGTATATAGATTACGTGAAATCCCAATTCAAGAAGCCTCTTCTACTCGCCGGTCCGGTGGTGCCGGAGCCGGCCTCCGGCGTGCTAGACCAGAAATGGGCTGATTGGCTAAGCCAGTTTGAACCCAGCACTGTAATATACTGTTCTTTTGGGAGCGAAACATTCTTGAAAGACGATCAGATTAAACAACTGGCCCTAGGATTGGAACTCACCGGCCTTCCATTCTTTCTGGTGCTGAACTTTCCGGCCAATGTTGACGTGGCCACCGAGCTGAACCGGGCCCTTCCGACAGGGTTCACGGAGAGGGTGAAGGGAAGAGGGATCATCCATTCAGGGTGGGTGAAGCAGCAGCAGACCCTAGCTCACAGCAGCGTGGGATGCTACGTCTTCCATGCAGGTAATTAACGTAACATGTAACATCCATCTTTTCTTTGTCTATTAAGGACGCGTTTGGTTCAGGTTATATAACATAATTAAGGGAATGTGATATTTCAAAGCTCACATTTCTATGTTTGGCTCACATTATCTCAGGGAATCTAATATTCCCCACATTATCTCAGGGAGTCTAACATTCCCCAGGAATTCTCAGGGAGTCTAACATTCCCCAAGAATGTCACATTCCCTTCACATTATCTCAGGGAATCTAACATTCCCCAGGAATGTCACATTCCCTTCACACACACACACACACACACACACACACACACACATATATATATATATATATATATATATATATATATATATATATATAATTATTTTTGTAAT